GAGCTCGATCGTCGTCACGCCGGGGTAGACGCCTTGGATCACCTGTCCCGTTCACGAAGGACAGAGAGCAAGCAAAGCGGGACGTCGAAGACGGTAGCAGCGCGTCATCAAAACCTGACGGGCATGCCCACGAAACAGGAACGCCTGCCTGCTGCTCTGCCCATCATGCCTCTCCCGTGAGACAGCACAAAAAAAGCGGGTGAATCACCGAAAGGTACATCGCAAACACACGAATTGGCATTTCGACAGGAGGCGCGACAAAATGAAGGAAAGGGCGCTGAAAGGAAACATTTAGTGCTAGACCAGACCCAGCAACGTCTGCCCGTGTGGAGCGCACGGCTTCCGCCACAAATGAGACTGCGGCGGGAGTTGGTGCAAGAGGGTGTCCCAAAGTTCCCCTTCCCAACAAGACCGAAAGCGTGGACTTCAACACCTGGCGACACGTGGTTTCCACAAATAGCGCTAAGTATGTCGGCGGGACGTCAATTCTCGAGGCTATGAACAAGGCTCCGCGTGCATATGCCGTGACAAATATCATATTGACAGGAGCGGTGTGGCGAGTATACAGCAGTAGCGCCAAATTTTCATGGATCCTTTCGCGACCCAACCCAGCCCACCTTCTGCGAGATCTTGATGGAGTCCACGAAGCGGCTGTCGAGGCCATAGCAGAGCTTGTTGATGCGCGAGGTGATCTTGTCGAACTTGACGTCCTCCTTCCTCCCGTCTCTCTTGACCACGAACATCTTTTGCTTGCCTTCTCTCTCACCCCCAGGAAGAAGAAAACAGACCGTAAATGTACACCCGCCGCTCGAGATATAATTTAACGCCGCTTTGTCTCGTTTTCAAGTCTGGAAGTAGGCGTGTTGGGGCAGCAGCGGGGGGTGGTCTCGTTAGAGGCTAATCGCTCGAAACTGCGGTGGTTCCACATGCAGCAGCAAAGCGGATATCAGAAACGTATTCTTCGGTGGCCGTGAATGGGAAAAAGACCCACCTGCACCGAGCAGTTGCCCACTAACTACTCGCAGGGAACACAGCTGCTGTGCAATTCTTGGCAATGTGTGTGCGTCAGCTCGGTTGCTAGGAAGGGATCGACCTGTGGAGTGCATAGCGACTCTGTTGACCGTCCGCCGAGTGGGTTGCAGGGTGCGTGCGGCACAGGAGTTTAGTGCTTTGCGATTCGATCTGCAAATGGGACACACCAGGCAACGCCCGTTCTTACAGTTGGACGGCAGGGATATGTAGTCTAGAGATGACCTCGGCAGGCAAAAGTGTTCTGGACCGGTACGGCAGCTCGGTATTTCCGTATTGTCGTATCGAGAGAGACCCTAGTTCTTCATGTTTTTTGTATTTCTGCTGTACTTCGAAAAATATTTGAAAATCCATCAAATGCATTCATTCTTGCTTGCATACACACGCCGACAACGGAGAAGGAGAGATGACAGAAATAGCACCACGGACGGTTCGGCTATTGAAGATTCTTGGTTAGTGAAAACGACCACAAAGCGCGTCAGAAGACTAACATTTGCTCGCGCCGCTCTTTTGGATCTGCGGCGGTTAGGGGTAGCGTTGCACAGGTACTATAATACTGCTTGTATTGTAGTGACATGGTGGTACGTTCCGGACGGTAAACACTCTAACTTTTGAACAGAGAATATCCTTTGTCTTGCCGTGCGGCACGTACGGCAGTTCAGCAGAAGTTTCGCATGTGACTGCGGGATCTACACGACAGTGGACAAGAGCGCGAGCAACAGCCTCAACACACCAAAACAAGGAAAAGCTAAAGCTTGCATAGTCATCAGATCGTCCTCCGAGACAGCAAGTGGTCACGATGAAGCGGCGCGTGCGTGTCCGGTGATGACAAAAAGTGCGGCAACACGGCCACTCGCATAGCCGGGCGTCAGCAGCAGCTGCGGGTACGACCGGTGAGTATTGCAGCGCGGCGCCTAGCTGTGCACTCTGGCCAGAGCCTGAGCACAGCTGCAGCGCTGTTGCAGAGCAAAGGCTACATAGCTGGCAACCCATGCGAGGAGAAGAGATGGCACACCTCTGGCAGGCTGTGCTTGTGGAGTTAAGCTGCTTTGCTGCTGCTTTTCAAAAAAGAGGCGGCACGAGAGGCATGCTCGTGAGCAGCACCACCTGCGCGTACTGATTATCCCGCAAACCGCAGAGAATGGAACGAGGAAGCCCACACGCTAAGGTAGTTCCGTCCTGTGCGGCATAAGCACGAAGGCGCTCCTCTCTACAGAAGAGGGCAGGAGCTAAAGAGCCCGTACAGGGCAACGGCTGCAAACCAGCGCTGTTTGAACATGGCACGCCGAGCACAGCCAACACACAGCTCTCCGGTAAGTACTACAAGTTAGGACCAAACTACTACGTAAGTACCTCTACAACTCACAGTAAGGGCGATGGACCCCCGTTTGCGATGAAGCGCACCTCCAGTGTTGTTGTGGATTGGTTGCGCTGTGGAAGGTGGAAACGATGTGTGTACTGTGCGTGTTGGTGAGGCAGCAAATTTGAAATCTGTGAATCTGATGCGCGCGCTTTTTTTCACACCGCCTCCGCGGGATGGGGGTGTGCAGGAAACCCCTCGAGCTTGTCTGCGGAGCCCCTAATTGCGCCGCATAATAAATCGGTGGCACTCTCCGGGGCCGCAGCCCGCAGCGTCGCCTCAGGGTCACGGCCACCTGCTACATAGCAACAGCACGGGCAGGCACCACCGAACGCGCTGCCCAGCAGCACAGATGTATCGGCTACGGATTTCTGCGCTGGCCCTCGTTGCTCAGCTGGGTATGGGCGAGGAAGGTGAGGGGTTGGGCACTGAGAAGGAGGAGTGGGAAGAGACGGCGATCTTGCGATATACAGTCGAGGTCCCTCTATAGTGCGGGTATGTGCCAGGCGATTCTACCCGCACTATAGCGGGCACCCGCACTATATAAATAAGCGCCTAAATAGTGCGCATACCCGCACTATTGGGGGTTCT